GTAACAGCGCACTGTGGCTGCAGACTCGCACATGCGCGGTGCGGGCGGGAGGAGAGCGTTGCCCCAGTGACGCTGTCAATATTCTCTCAGAGCTCAGCGCGGAATGTCAGCACTGGAACCGTCACCAACAGCAACAGAGACAACAACACACACTAACAACACAGCGACACACACACCGACAACATAGGGACACACACACTGACAACATAGGGACACACACACACCGACAACACAGCGACACACACACCGACAACATAGGGACACACACACCGACAACATAGGGACACACACACTGACAACATAGGGACACACACACCGACAACATAGGGACACACACACTGACAACACAGCGACACACACACCGACAACATAGGGACACACACACCGACAACACAGCGACACACACACCGACAACACAGCGACACACACACCGACAACACAGCGACACACACACCGACAACATAGGGACACACACACTGACAACATAGGGACACACACACACTGACAACACAGCGACACACACACCGACAACATAGGGACACACACACTGACAACATAGGGACACACACACTGACAACACAGCGACACACACACCGACAACACAGCGACACACACACACCGACAACACAGCGACACACACACCACCGACAACACAGCGACACACACACACCTGAACAGCGACACACACACAGAGCGACACAGTGACACACACACACCGACAACACAGCGACACACACACAGCGACACACAGCGACACACACACACAGCGACACACAGCGACACACACACACACACAGCGACACACACACAGCGACAACACAGCGACACACACACACCGACAACACAGCGACACACACACCACCGACAACACGACAACACAGCGACACACACACACCGACAAACAGCGACACACACACACCACAACACAGCGCACACACAAACCACAACACAGCGCACACACACACCACAACACAGCACCCACACACCGCAACACAGCACACACACACCACAACACAGCACACACACACACCCACACACAGCGACACACACACACCCACAACATAGGGACACACACACACCGACAACATAGGGACACACACACACCGACAACATAGGGACACACACACCGACAACACAGCGACACACACACCGACAACACAGCGACACACACACCGACAACATAGGGACACACACACACACCGACAACACAGCGACACACACACACCGACAACACAGCGACACACACACACCGACAACATAGGGACACACACACACCGACAACATAGGGACACACACACACCCACACACAACACAGCGACACCACACACCGACAACACAGCGACACACACACCGACAACATAGGGACACACCACGACAACACAGCGACACACCACCGACACATAGCGACACACACACACGACAACACAGCGACACACACACCGACAACACAGCGACACACACACCGACAACACAGGGACACACACACACCGACAACACAGCGACACACACACCGACAACACAGCGACACACACACCGACAACACAGCGACACACACACCGACAACATAGGGACACACACACCGACAACATAGGGACACACACACCGACAACATAGGGACACACACACCGACAACACAGGGACACACACACGACACACACACCGACAACACAGGACACACACACACCGACAACACAGCGACACACACACCGACAACACACGACACACACACCACACACAGCGACACACACACACCACACACACACACACACACCACACAGGACACACACACACCGACAACACAGGGACACACACACACCGACAACACAGCGACACACACACACCGACAACACAGCGACACACACACACCGACAACACAGCGACACACACACACCCACAACACAGCGACACACACACACCCACAACACAGGGACACACACACACCGACAACAGGACACACACACCGACAACACAGGACACACACACACCGACAACACAGGGACACACACACACACAACACAGGACACACACACACACACAGGACACACACACACACACACAGGACACACACACACACAGGACACACACACACACAAACAGGACACACACACACCGACAACACAGGGACACACACACACCGACAACACAGCGACACACACACACCGACAACACAGCGACACACACACACCGACAACACAGCGACACACACACACCGACAACAGCGACACACACACACCGACAACACAGCGACACACACACACGACAACACAGCGACACCACACACACCGACAACACAGCGACACACACACACCGACAACACAGCGACACACACACACCGACAACACAGCGAACACACACACCGACAACACACACACACACACCGACAACACAGCGACACACACACACCGACAACACAGCGACACACACACACCGACAACACAGCGACACACACACTGACAACATAGCGACACACACACTGACAACATAGCGACACACACACTGACAACATAGCGACACACACACTGACAACATAGCGACACACACACTGACAACATAGCGACACACACCACTGACAACATAGCGACACACACACTGACAACATAGCGACACACACACTGACAACATAGCGACACACACACTGACAACATAGCGACACACACACTGACAACATAGCGACACACACACTGACAACATAGCGACACACACACTGACAAACATAGCGACACACACACTGACAAACATAGCGACACACACACTGACAACATAGCGGACACACACACTGACAACATAGCGACACACACACTGACAACATAGCGACACACACACTGGCAACATAGCGACACACACACTGGCAACATAGCGACACACACACTGGCAACATAGCGACACACACACTGACAACATAGCGACACACACACTGACAAATAGCGACACACACACTGGCAACATAGCGACACACACACTTGAACATAGCGACACACACACTGGCAACATAGCGGACACACACACTGACAACAGCAGAGACAAATGACTACAATGAACACACACAACAGTGAGTGTCTCTCTCTCTCTCTCTGGTTGTTGGTGTGAGTGTCTCTCTCTCTCTCTCTGGTTGTTGGTGTGAGTGTCTCTCTCTCTCTCTCTGGTTGTTGGTGTGAGTGTCTCTCTCTCTCTCTCTGGTTGTTGGTGTGAGTGTCTCTCTCTCTCTCTCTGGTTGTTGGTGTGAGTGTCTCTCCTCTCTCTCTCTCTCTGGTTGTTGGGTTAGTGAGTGTCTCTCTCTCTCTCTCTGGTTGTTGGTGTGAGTGTCTCTCTCTCTCTCTCTGGTTGTTGGGTTAGTGAGTGTCTCTCTCTCTCTCTGGTTGTTGGGTTAGTGAGTGTCTCTCTCTCTCTCTCTGGTTGTTGGTGTGAGTGTCTCTCTCTCTCTCTCTGGTTGTTGGGTTAGTGAGTCTCTCACCTGCTCACTGTGACTCGGCTTTTCCTCTGCTCTCTCTCTCTCTGTCTGTCTGTCTGTCTGTCTGTCTCTGGTGTGTCCTCTCCTCTCTCTTATTGTTGTTGATGGGTTTCCTCTTCTCTCTCCTGTTATTATCCTCTCTTGTTGATGTTGCTGTGCCCTCTCCCCTCTCTGGTGTCGTACCTGTTGCTTTTGTTGATGTTCTCTCTGGTTGTTGTCGTGGCCCTCTCCTCTTTCCTGTAGTTGCTCGTGTTGTTTTGGTCTCCTCTCCTCTGGTTGATATTGTTGTAGGTGCCTCTCACCTCTCTAGTTGTCTGTTATTGTTGTTGGCGTCTCCATTCTCCCTCTCTCTTGCTGCTGCTGCTGCTGTTGGTGGTGGTAGTATCTGTCCTCTCAAGAGAGGAGTTGTTGTTGTTGTTGTTGTTAGTAAGTCCCCTCTCTCGTCAGGCTCCGCCACCGTTAAGCGCTCTGAGACGCTACCCTGCGTGGAGGGCGCTATATAAGTGCAAGTTGTTGATGTTGTTGGTGGTGATAGTGGTGTCTTCTCGCCCTCCTTGTCCTTGTCGGTAGTGTCCTCTCCCTTGTCCTCTCTCTCTCTCTCTCTCGATGCCCTGTTGTTGGTGTGTCCTGTCCTCACTCCCTCTTTGTCCGTCTTAGTGTGTCCTGATCTGTCCCCCCACCACCTCACACTCGCTTGTCCCTCCCTGTAAGTGTGCCCTGGCCTGAGCTGTCCCCACCTCTCTCTCTATTGCTCTATAATTATTGTGGTTAGTGTGTCATGTCCTTGCTCTCGTTTTGTACCTGTTCTTAGTGGGTTACCCCTTCACTCTCTCTCCCCCCCACCCCCACCCACTCTCTTATTGTCGTTGTTAGTGTGACACCCCCCCCCCACCTCCTCTTGTTGTCGCTGTTGTTGTTAGTATAGTAGTTGGTGTCTCCTTTCTATCTTGTTAAGCATTTTTTAGTGTTGTTATTGGTGTCTCCTCTCTCTTTTGTTCTCTCTTGTTGTCCTCTTTTTCTCTGGTAGTGTTGTTGTCCTCTCTCTTGTTTTCTCTTGTCCCTGTTGATGTTGGTGTTGTTTTGGGTGTCTTGTCCTCTCTCACTCTCTCTATGGGGTTGTTGGTCTCTCTCTTATTATTTTGGCCTTTCTCGCTCTCCCTCTCTGTTATTGTTTGTGTTGTCTCTCTCTTGCTGTTAGTCTCTCTCTCATTGTCTCTGTTGCTATTATTGATGTGTTAGCGTATGTTTCTCTCTGCTGTTGATAATGTTAGTGTGTGTGTGTCTCTGCTGTTGATAGTGTTAGTGCGTCTCTGCTGTTGATAGTGTTGAAGATAGATACTAATTTGGCGTACAATGTAGTACTATATCACAGAACCTTTCAATTACTACCTTAAAAAGTAAAAGTTAAAAATTCTTTTGAATAATGGGGTTCAAGACACAAGATCACTCAGTAATTGTTCATCTCTCTTTGCAATAAAAAAAGGAGTGGAAACAATGGATCTTTATTCTCTGCTGCACTATTTTTTTGCATCCTAGCTTCTCTCTTAACCATCTATGTGTACTCACTCTTGCACTCAGACTTCTTGGGCTTACAATGTTCAGTAGGAGAGCTCCACTCTGTAATGAAGACTTTGGTACTGTTTATACCTAAATTAAATTAGGGAATGCTTTGTTACATAGGCAGTAAAATATATCTCTGGAAAATAATTAAACAATGAAATTAGAATTGTATCAAACAATATGGTCTATCTTTTGTGTTGTTCCCCCCTTTGTGAATAACCCCTTCTTTGGTAAATAAACACAATCTATAAATTTTACATGATTGAAATGTAATTAAAAACAGACGGACAAAGACTTGAGTATTGTAAGAATCGCTGTCGGTTATCTAATGTAATTATTTAATTGGAAAAAAAGTCCATCTTTTGAGGTTATGAAACAACACCACACTTTAAGGACAAAGGAACTCATTGCTCCTGCAGCACTCTGAATAAACTATTACTTCAATTCAATAATAGCCAATCCTCTATTGGACTGTTCATGTCACGAACAACTTGAATGAGGCTAGAAGACAGGCTACCGAATAAGTCCAGTCTCTAATAAGTGCCGATTCAAAAACACCCCAATTTAATTGTGCTCTGAAGAATTATTCTGAATCATGACAGTTGATGCACTGTGAAAAACCAGTTGCTCAAATACATGCAGAATGCATGCAAACTTTAAAAAAAATTGGAGAAATAGGAATGGTTAATTATGACACTTCAACCTAGTTGTATAGATTTATGGAACCAAATTCTATTTATTGTCATTACTTTTTGTCCAGTATTAATACAGCATGTTATACAACTGGCTGCAGGGGGTTGGGGAAAGAGATAGGCAATACTTGTTTTCAGTGAGTTATTAATCAAACACTTAAGCTCACAAATTGGAAACAGGTTGACTCTTCTCACAGTGGTGCTGCACTGATATTTTTTAAAACTTTGTTTTAGCTGATTCTATTCCCCCACAGAGAAGATGGCCCCAGTGGAGCACCAGTTTTCCAGGACATGCATCTGCATTGACCTGGCAATGCTGTGCAGCCAGCTTCTCACATTAAAAAATGGCTGATTTTTATGTTAATGATGTTAGATTTTGGTTGTTCAGATATCTCTTCCTGTGCATTGTGCACAAGCAGGTTTTGTGTCTGAAGGATCATTTTCTGTCCGCTGCAGGTGCACACTATGTGTAGGAAGCACTGCTAATATCACTTCCTGTGCACCACTCATGCACACTGTGCAAGAAGCACTTTTGGTGAAGAACATGAGTGTCAGCAACACTTCTAGCACATAGTGCACTGTAAGTTATGTCAATCATGATCTGACGACCTGGGAGTCAGCTATTTTTGTGTTTCATTATAACATGATCTGAGTTATTGGTTGCATTATATAACAGGGTTGCCCTGTTTTTCTACTTTGATCACTCCATTGACAACAACAACAACACAATTACATTTGTATAGCGCCTTTCACATCGGGAGGAAGTCCCAACAGCATAAAGAGAAGGAGCCCATTCTTGAAGTCTGCAGTAGTTTTGCACCATATAAAGGTTTTTCTTATACACAAAACAGACTTATTTGCAGTTGTTATTTTAGAACTCATAGGTAACTTCTGTGATGTCATTCACACACAAGGTTTGATGTTAACCCTCATTTTTACTTTTCTGAAAAAACAACTCCCATGTGGCAAGGATCAAGATAGCTTCTTGGAAGTTGTGGTTCACCAACAGAAATAAACCAGCTTGTGGCTTTAGGAAGTATTCAAGCTCCACATTTTTCAACTCATGGTCAGATGGTTTATTTCCTGGTTAACTAGCACTCGTTATAAGGATATTTTATACGGATCAATTGCCCATACTCCACAATGAAACCTCTGCTGATTTGTTTTCAGCAAATTCGCCACCGTGAATAATTTTTGTTCCTTTATTAGCATTAAAATCTCTGATATTAAGATTTTATAACTAATAACCAGCCAATTACAATCTTTTTTAAAAAAAAATGAGTGTGCAGACTGAGCCACATAAACTCAGTTTCAGGCTACTCAGTTTTAGGCGACTTGCTCCCTGGGCAGTGGCAGCTGAATAGGCTCAGTATCATGCTAGGCATTCCAGCTGTTGTGGAGTAGGATGGAAGGCAAAATGTCTTCATTAGAGGGACATTTTAATAACCCTTGCATTTCGCTACTTAAACAAAAATATAGATATTTTAAAAATAAGTGTTTAATATATACAGATTAAAATATTAATAAATCAAACTGCTTCTTTAAAATATTTCAGCAGAATAAAATAGGATATTAAGTAAAATACCTCATCAAAAATAAGCTTTATAATCTGAAAACAAGATTGGCAGGAAGAAACGTCAGATGTCTCTTAAAACAGTCACAAAAAAGTTATTTCACAAAGAATTACAGAATAAACTATCTGCCAGCTTTGACATTGTCTTTAGCAGGACACAACCATCATTCCTCAGAGCCACTGTGTAACTCCATTTATGCATTATTGCTTATAAATAACTATATATTATCTCCAAACATTAAGTCCACCCCTAATATGTGATATTAGAAATTATTTACGATTCTGTTCACCCATGTTACAATAAGATAACCCTTGCCCTTGCATTGGCGTAGCGCCTTATCATGTCATCAAGACATCTCAAAGTACTTCACAGGATTAACTGTGAAGAGTGACTGTTTATTTGTATGCGAACACAGCAGCCCAATTGCGCACAGTAATGTTCCACAAACAGCCATGAAACAAGACAACCAATTTTATTTGGGAGATTATTGGCCAGGACACCAGGCAAGGGTTCCCTTCAAGTAGTGGTATGGCCATGTTTAATGTCCATCTGAATAGGTAGATGGGATCTCATCTAAAGGTTGGCACCTCTGACAATCGCAATGAACTGTCAGCATAGACTATATGAACCGACATCCTTCTGACTCAGAGGCAAGAGTGCTAGTGATTGAGCCAGGCTGACACATAGGCAGTCAGGCTGTTCTCAACATCGCTATTATGTGTACATGCTTAGAGATCGTGTGATTTTCTGCAGAAAACAGCTTGGCAGAAACAAAACAAACACTATGGCAGAATCACTGACAACAGCTCCTTGCACACGGTTTAATGAGTTACATTGTTGGAGGTATCAGCCACACTTTGGAGGAGATGTTAAACCCAACATCCCACCTGCCTGTCTGATGGTAGAGATGGATAGTACAAATCCTTTGGCACTGCAATAATTGAAAACAATATTTTCTATTCTCAGTGTCCTGGCAAATATTTTTTCCTCATCCAAATGATTACTTGGTCGTTCAACTTACTGATCACAGCTTTTCATTTATGCTGGGAGAAAGGCAAGTAGTACACTTAAAAATAAGTATAAACAAAAATTATAATAGGTAGAAAATTATTAAAGTGTAGGAAATAGAAGAGAAAGGAGAGTGATGAGAGATTCTAGTTCTAGGGATGACAGTTCAAATTTGTTTGTTTTCAATTAGGGAGCTAGTTACTCTTCTATGCAGCTTCATTACTGTAATATTAATAGGTTTTTTTAGCATCACATTGTACAGTCTGACAGTACTCTTAGTTAACATATTTTCCATATTAAAAAAAATAGATTTCAAGGGAAAACTACCATCAGCATCCCATGGATGAATATTTTCAAATCACTGTCCTTCACTTTTATGGAAGCATTTTGCCTGTAGCAATTGATGTGTTCGTCAAAGGGTCATGTACTCTAGAGTGCTACTTGTCACTTTAATTGAACCGCAAACAGTTTAGAGGATGGATGTATCTATACAAGCCACATAGGTCAAATAGAAGGAAAATAAAACACAAGAATAAAACCACTAAATAGCAGAGGAAATAATGCTTCATAGAAAATGCACAAATGGAAATATCCAGGGCTTATTTTCAGTTCATTGCATTCCCATTATTTTATTTCAGTTTGACCAGACATTTATAGTTATATTAAGATTTTAGTACACTAGAAGAGTTATTTCAGTTCTAAACATTTAAGTTGGAGAATATAAATATTAGGTACAAAGTCAGAATTAAATAGCACAAGTAGCTTTTTTGAAGTAAAATTGTATTTCTTACTTTCTCTCAGTTTTTGCGCTTTCGATTCCAATGTGAGCAGATCTTGTTCTTTTCTGAGCTTTTCTTCATGCTCTTGTTCTCGTTCTAGTAATTCTCTCTCTTGTCTCTGAGAATCAGACCAATCCCAATCATACTGTTCCTGCAAATATTTGTTAGGCAAGTATTAGTGTGCAGCATCTACAATTCAAGAGGCAGCATTATAGATTGGTACTGCAATTGATTGTGCCACAGAGTGATATGATAAAAAAAATGCTCACTATTCTCCAGTCTCAGCTTGACATTTTGGGAAATGGAGAGTGCAATGCAGTTCAGTCTGTGTGCTTTCTCACAGAGAGGAAAAATAAACTAAAAATACTAGAAAGCTGATGACCTTGGGTGTCGCGAATATTTCCTAGCAGTGGGCTTAAAGGCACTATTGGTATAGGTCTCAAAGTAGAGGTATAGATCCTCAGAAATTTATACCAATAAAAGTATTAGGGTGTGGGGGAGAGGGGGGAGAAGAAGGAAACAGACTATGAAAAATATTTTTGCAAATAATAAGGTGCCAAATAATTCCAAGGGGAAATAGCAATTCTTTTTATAGCTGTTTCCAGTCACATCATCTAACATAGAAAAATCAGGAGCAGACTGATAGATTGAGTGAGTCTCTATCTGATCAGCTTAAGCACCATCTGGTAGATTGGTCCAGAATGAGCATTGACAGCAGCAATGACAGGCATTTCATCTTCCTGACCAGAATTACAAAAATAAAGCAGTTAAATTAAAGATTTTATATGCCCTTTCTAGAAATAAGATTATATTAATTATACAATTTATAATTTAAGTTTTAGCACAAAATGTCAGAGAAAACACAGTCAGAAATGCACAAAACATTAGGAGAATAAAATCTACATTTGTCACTCAAGAGATTTATATTATCCAGATAGATCAATATCCTTGTCGCCCATTGCAATCATTTATTTGTATACAGTTGTTTTACTGAATGTATGAATCCTTTAATTAACCACTCAGTCTGGTGGGCCAAGCAATGATTGCAATGGGGTATTACTTAATATTTAAATCAAGTTCCACTTAAATGGGATTTTTTCCCTCCTCATATTTCACGTCATAAACATTTTGAAAATAGATTTTTGACAGCATAATAGATAAAATATGTCTTGTACCAATGTTTGATAAACTTATTATTCTATAAGCAAGTTCTAATTTAAGAAACAGGGGAAGAGTCAATGTGGTCCATAGGGCAGGTCACCATCTAGGTTGAAGGGAGTATGCTATACGTATCCTTCTTGATGTACAGGGTTACCAAATAGTCATAATATCTACCCTATTATCTAAAAAAAAATCATAATTTCTTCATTAGACATTGTAATGGTATCATAACTTTTTGGTCTCCCTGTATATCTGTAGCAGAACGAGGGAAGCCCAGTTCACAATCTTATAATGAAAGTACTTTACTCCCAAAACTTCCAAATAAGGCGGAATACTAGCAAAATTGTATCTAAAGATAAGTACTCCTGCACACACACACATTTTTGTACATTGCTCTGACTCCAGAACTTTTATGAGATTGTGGACAGAACAAGTACCCAAGCTGGCCACAGTCACATGTGCCTATTTGGTCTGCTGCTAACAGATGGGGCCGGGCGAGGATGGGTGTGATAGGATCACGGAGCTTGGTGCGAGACAGGACACGAGTTCTCTCTTGCACCACACTTGACAAAAGTCAAGCAAAACAAGGTGTTCAATTCACCATAAAAGGTCAATCGTAAACCATCTTCAATATCTCAGCAACTGGTTGCGCAGCAATATTAGCAGATATCAACTCCCCCAAGAAATAATAATAAGCCCTTTATTTGATATAGCACTTTTCACGTCTTCTAGTGTCAAAGCGCTTCACAGAATATACTATAAAGTGAATTGACTGTATGTTTGTGGGCAAAACGTGGCAGAAAGAAAGTAAGAATCATATTAAGAACACTGCTGTGTGTTGGAAATAATCTAGCAGAATTCCAGCAATAGTAACAGCAGATTTAGAAACAATATTAAATAAATCTAGGTGTAATTGTTCGTATGGCCACCTTCCCTAAAATATATGCTGCCCATCTCAGAAAATATTGTGAATTACGATGCAAAACTATGAGTCAAAGGTCAGCTCTAACTAGATGGCCTGAAGTTTTAAGACCAGACACACATTTCAGCCAATGAGCAAACTCCAAAAACTTCAAATCCTCTACGATGTCAAGCTAAATATAAATGTAGACTTGGATGTTCCAGTCCATCACAATCCTGCTGCACCTATAAAATCACAATACTATTTCCTAATACACCCTATCCCTCACCAATCAAAATGTTTTCCCTGATTTGGTTGACATTTTAAAAAAACTGGTCAATGACAATGGAAATGTTGTTTTAGCAAGGAAAAAAATACCAGCAAGACAGAAAAAAGGCAGAGTAGCATTGGTGTTTCCTTGGCAATAATACATCATTTATTTTGTTTGTATTGCCTCCAACAGAGCGATTATATGGCAATTTTGCAGTGCTTCTTCTGCCTCCATCAAGGAGATACCTAGATATCAATCATGTCTGCATTGATTGTTGTAGTTAAGCAATAGGGAGCAAAGCAGCAAAAATTGACTGCTTTTTAATTCTATAATTTGTTGAATATTAGCCTCATCAGTTTTAATATATTAGAAATTCAACACTAATATCCTGATATTATATAATGACATTCCTAACTGAATTAAATTTTTTGATGTGATAAGGTGCCAAAAAAATGCAAGTTCTTATTTATCAGATAAAGTTACTTTCTTTGATGACAGTTTTTGTGTTAGATGTGCTAAAGTTGAACAATATTTTAAAATTAGCTTCCTCAGACCTGCTTTATATAATGCAAAATCCTACCTGTTAGAAGCATTGATAGCACCACATATATATAAATAATCCTTGTATTTAATATAGCGCTTTTCACGACTTCGAGACTTCTCAAAGAGCTTCACAGAATACCCTGTAAAGTGAATTGACTGTATATTTGTAGGCGAAACATGGCAGCCAATTGCGTACAGCAGTGCCCCACAAGCAGTCGCAGATTGAGTGATTAAATTATTATCTTGTTTTGTTTTTCTCTTGAGGGATTATTATCAGGTGTGTGGAGTAAAGAAATTTGCCCAAGATTTTGCCCTTTCGGGAATCAAACCCAGGTCTCTCGCTTGCGAGTGCTCTAACCACTGAGCTACAGGACTCGACATAAACAGTTTAAGTTAATTGAATGTAGTCTAGTAATAATATTAGGTTGCCAATCTGGTATTCTTTAATCATGGTATGGATATAAAAATGGGCCACGTACCTTTTGGGAAAATTCCTCTTTCACTCTTAAGTTATTCTCCTCAGAAACAGCTGGGGGTGGAGTTGGGAACTCTAATGGTAAAAAGTATTCCTCAGTCTGTACTCCTTTAGTCGTGTTGGGTACGGTAGCTAAAGTGTAGAAGAAATAAGAACAACTTAGATCAATCACCTTTTAATTATCAGATCTATTCTATCCAGATTTAGTTCTTAAAATCAATACTGTATAAGTATCATCAGCCAAGTTCAATTTTATAGACAAAAGGGAAAACTAACTTAACCATTATCTGAAGGCATCAAATATGGAAAGTAAACAGCAGAAAATGCTGCAAATACACAATAGTGCAATCAAGATCATAGAAAAAGATAGGGTAATATTTTGCATATGTCATTTCATGAGAATTTGGGGAATAAGGCAGCAGAAGCTTCCTTATAGATTAAGGAGGGCAAAAAAAAACCTAACCAAGGAAATAATACAAGGAAATAATAATATTGGGTAGAAGTGAAAAATTCAAATCCACTAAATTTCATTTTTTTCTGGTTTTATTCCAGATTTTCCAGCAACTTGTTTTTTCAAGAATCATTCGGAGGGCAGTACATCTCATAAAATGTATCTATTGTTTAAAAAAAAGGCCTTACATTGTACAAAACGTCACTCAGGATATTAATCTAGTGAAATGAAGTCAGCAGAGATTATAACTTTTTTTTCTTTTAAATAAACATTTTCTGGATTTTAGCTCCATTCTTCCACTCCTTTCCTAAAGCTGGTGAATAATGTTGTGGTTTGGTTGTATGGGTGTCAGAGGACTCCAGCACATCCCCTAAATGACCATTCATCTTTGTAAGTAAGCTTGGACAAAGAATTTTGTTTGTCTATTTCACCATTTTTTTGGTCAGACAGGTATCTGACACCGGCGGAAACCCATCACCATGCTTAAGAGTATTCAAATCAAACTGAGAATTCCATGTTTTCCACCTAAACATGGAAATTTCGGAGATATCTGTTGGAATGGACCCCCCAGAAGGTATTAGGCACAGGCTGGCAAAAGCTAAGGCTTGGGGATCCCAGAGTGTACGTTGGGATACTGCTGGAGTCTAACCAGCTAAATCCGTACAACTTGCCATTGAGAGTATTGCCTGACAAGCTTTCCTGCTGCTTTTCCAGCTAGGACCACCTTACCAGTAAGGGCTTTGGCTTGCAGGGTTAACAGGAGCTGAGTGGGATGATTCCCTGCCCTGAGTGATTGGTCTGCCATTCAAAGTCCTGCCGATGAGCCAGGCTGGCTGTGCTGTCACCAGCAGTGCCCTAGAGTACCGTGGACCTCCTGTTTCAGGATCTGGACTACCGAGATCACCACAGAGGGTTGGCTCAATTCTGATATGCCGTTGCCAAATATGTTATCTTGGAGCAGGTTCCGCTTCCAGCAAATAGCAACAAGAAGGGTACAACTTGACCTGAGGCCAACTGTAGCCTCCTGACTAAGATTGGATAGCTCAGGCCAGACTAGGGATCAAACCTAGGATCTTCCGAGTCTGTGTGGGTTTATTACGTTACCACATACATCACCTGGTATAGTTATACACCGAACCATCAGTTCTTTTTCTTTTAAAAAATAATAAAATCTCAAAATCTTCCTCTCCCCAAATTATACTGGATGATAACTCATAAATTTGAATGACAAATTTCTTATCTATAGTTTTCTTTTTAGTTAAAAGAAGTAACCTTTGTTTAGATTGAGATGATTAGTTTCTAAACATAAAATACTAAATTTATAATAATAATAATCTTTGACATAGAGC